CTAGTAGTAAGGCCAGGAGCCCCTAGTAGCGTCCTTGCTCCTAGTAGCCTCTTTTTGGTACCAGTTTTTTCTTCGATTCACACGGCACATCTGCTATTTTCACGTCTTTGCCCCTTCCTTTGTCCAGCGAAGAGATGCAGCGCCAGAGAGTCCCTCGAGCCACCACCAGTGACGAGAGTGATCAGCAGATTGTTGCTTCAGCGGCTGAGGTGGTTTGAAGCGCAGCTCAGTCAAACCGCAGCGTGGCAAGATGGGTGTCACTGATGCCAAGAAATGGTCCATGAATTACTGTAATTGGATAGGTTGCGGGGGATTGCTTTTCACATCTTTTCACTGACACTTCGATTCTACAGAAAGGCACGCAGTTTCTAGTCGACGCTTTTCAAGGTGGTACCCTGTGGTTCAATTATGGTCGAAGTGTTTTGTCTCCCTTCTTTCTGGGCAAGCAATTCTGTCTCAAGTTGGACTTCTGGGTGAAGTGAAAACCACCGACTTGGGATGTATTTGCAACGGATTGGTAGACCCCTCAAGTTCGCGATTACAACCCCAGGAACAAGTGCATCGCTTCTAGTAACAAGTGCCTTACTAGTATATAGTAACAAGAAGCTACTATATAGGGGCTCCTGGCCTTACTACTAGGAACAAGAAGCTATTAGGAACAAGTTCCAGAGAACTTTCACCAGTGCTCAGCTTCTGACCCCCCGTCCGTCAGTCCTCAGCGCAGCCTGAGGATCCTTCGGTGGTTCTGACCAACGCACCCAGCTCACTTGATGGGAGACACAGCGCCACCTGCTGGGGACAAGCTGCTGCAGAGATCCCACACGTGCAGGCGCGCGATGCGGAGGATCGATTTCTGCTTTTCCAAGAATGGTGGATGCCAGGATTAGGGGACGGTGGAATCAGTTCGTGGTGAAATTGCTGGAGAACATCCAGGGGCGAGAAGATTCTTACGATGCGAACTTCGTAGGTTGAGAACAAGGGAAGTGTTCGTTCAACAAAAACGGGCCACCCCTCAATACTTCACCGGATTCCTCGGTCTCTTGTGCCAGGTACATCCAGGACAGGCGACGGAGATCCTGATGGAGTTGGCCTTCGGTTTCCTGGTTCGCAGAGAAGGGCACTCCAGAATTGACCCGGAACAGGATGCCGTATGTCACATGCCCCATGTCATACCACGTCACATTCTTGGCCTTTGAAAAGGCCACAGTTCAGCAGAACCGGAGCGGCTCGGACCCCCCGCAAAATCGCGGGTTCTGCCTTCCTTTGGGATTGCCGGAGGTGAATACCAGCTGAAGTTCAAGGTTCCAGGCGCTGGATGTGATATTTTCTTTTGCAAAGATGTGAGAGTCGCTTTTGAGTCATGGACAATGAGATGGGATGCTTTTTGCGTCGTGCGGGAAGATGATTTGGGCGAGTCTTTGGGCCCAAAAGCAGTTGGCCGATTCTACAAGGAGCCAAGAAGGCAAAGCGAATGGAAGAAGAGAATGACAATAAAACACTATACACATCTCCAGAACGCCTGCACCATCCTGGACCACTTTCCCCAACGTCATCAAACTGTAAAACACTTTTCCCATCTTGACGCTGCAAACCATGCACCCATGTGTACCGGAAACAATCGAAAACGCATCAGGAAATTCGCAGTGGCTTCGCTCGGTCGTTGTTTGCGAACAGTGCTCCGTTCCCAACCGTTCGCCACGGTACGTCGGAGGCCGCGGAAGCGCGCCAGCGATGCGTGGCACGCAATGCACGCCGCCCCCCCACGTCGAAGACTACTCGGAGGAATATCGGAAAGCCTTGGAGGACTGCAAGATCTGGGAGGTTTCGTTTGGTCAAACGGGACACGAGATTGCTCATAGCCGCATAGCCATAGCCTCATGGTAGTGTTCATAACCTCATGGTCTATGCTACTCTGGTCGCGGTGGGGTGGCATGAGAACTTGGTTGGAACTTGGAAGGCTAATTACGTTGTGATCAGCTATTGATTGAGCCTGCTCACGATGGCACCAGGGTGCACACGATAGATGAATGAGTTGCGTCCGTCTGGACGGAATTCTGGACTATTCTGGCCACACAAGGATTCCAACCATTGTTTTATTAACTACAAAATCAGGTCAATTTTTAAACTGGTCGAACGGAAGGCGAGAGACCACCATTTGCTCCCAGGTCCACAGGTAAACCCTCCAGCGAGGACCATGCGCAGCGGCAGAAGAGTTACTTGAGCTTTGCCAAGGAGTCGAGTGTGGGGCAGACAGCGATCCGGAACGCCGACGTAGAGGCGATCTTTGCGCGCACACACGCGCGCAGAGTTTGCGTGCCAGCCCCTCTGTGCTGCGCAAGATGTGTCATTGTGTTGAAGGTTCTCAAATGATAAAACGGGATCATACAGATTCATACAGGCTGGTTTGGTGGAATCCTTTGCTGCTTGCTTCTACTCATCATCTTCCTGGGATCCTCCCGTTCCTCCGCCCACAAGAAGTTGTTCGCCCGCAGTCTGTGGCGGCCCTCCAGCAGTGTGCTTTGGCCATGGCGCTCTTCCCTGGATCTTTCGGAGTGGAAGCACAAACTGCCAATCGCATTCTGGTCAGCTGGTACACTGCCCTTCGGCGTGAGATGCGGCTCAAAAGTACTATTTTACGGATACACCAGGAGAAAAACCCAACTGAGCTTTGGGATGCTTTGCGGTGCTTTGGACAGCTGCTGCCGAAGTTCATGGGTTTCCGTTGGTTACCATGATTTACTGTAATATGGAAATATTATTTTATTATGGTTTATTATCTATATTGTATTTTTGTTCTGTGGCATGCCATATTTGGAGCTTCACCTTCTTCAAATCTCATTTCCATTTGATTTCCTCCGATCCCTTCCCAGTCCGACCCAGCTCCCACTGAGGTTGGCGGGGAAGGGCGAAGCTGAGAGGCGTGACGGTCCCGGTGCCCAGCACCGTCACAAACTGTGCCCCCCCGAGGCACGAGCCGGCGCGAGCCGGCGTGGTTGAGGCGACAGTTGGAGAATTGGTGGGAACCCACTTGCCTATTCTTCGGTGCACCAGGAAGCAAATCGAATCACCTATGGTTCTGGTGCAAAAGGTTTTGGAGAAGAGTCGCCACACATCAGAATATAGCAGCCTTAGACGAGTGGTTTATGAACTTGTCAATTCACCATATGAGCATCGATCCCAGGGAAAGCAAAACAATCATCTACAAAATGGAAGGTCTTAAGCCCACTAAAAACATAATCATTGTAGTAGGCCTTGTCGGCAAATTTTCTGTAAATATGAAGGTCAAGTCTTTTTGTAGAGAAAATAATGATCAGATACATTGGATTCTTCGCCGTTTGGAAACAGGCGAACACTTGGTAGAGGGCCATTTGGACATTGGGGAAAGGCCAGTGCGCAAATCAGTTTTGTTCGCCAGAATGTGGCCACAGACGTCATTGTGAGGGTGCTGGAAAGAAGACCGCGCTACGTGTCTTCGATTCACTTCGATCCATGTTTCCCTTCACTACAAAATGGTTGCCGGCCGTCTCATTTTTTAATTTGCCTTAATCTATATTATTAACATTATAGCTTTAACAAAAACAAACGGACATCTCTACAAAAAGGAAGTTCAGGATCTTAATATGTCGAGATTTAGATCATGCGAAGCTGGAAAAATCATTTTGTAGGGAGCCACAATCATCTCAGATGTCAAGGTCAATCTTTGCATCCTTGACATTCTGTACTTAGGATCAGCCTCTACAAAATGAGACTGACATAGTAGCTTGTTATTTTGTAGTGAACAATCTAGAGTCCTTTTTGTTGTTTTGTTTTGTATCTACAAAATTCAGGCCCCGGCTGCACATTAAATTTCCATGTCGATTCATTTGGCGGGGCTTGGACGTGGAGCTGCTCACATGGATTCATCATCAGGTACTGAGCCAAGCTAAAGAACTGAGAGAGGACCCAGAAGGGACGGTTGACCGGGGGAAGCAGCGGTATGAGTATGACCTCCGATTTTTTGTTTTGTCGTGCTGCTTATGGACTGGTCTAGAGACGTCATTTTGAAGCTTAAAGCCCCACCATCAAATACATCTCTCCCTCTCTATACACAGCTTTTGCATGTTTTTGCGACCTACAATTCTTGCACATGTTTGTACTTGTTGAAACGGAAGCGGTGCATAGAACATACATATATATATATGTATATGTATAGAGAGTAAAGTTATTAAATATATATGTGTATGTATAGGATATAATATCCAAATCCCCCCGTACCTAACATAATATTATATTTTACTGGTATTTGCAGTGTTTTATGAACTTTTCTGAATGTTGAATGTGTTCCTGGACTTTGCATTGAATGTGTTGGGCGGGGGGGGTGCCATACATACATATATGTGTGTGTCTATGTGTATTAGATCATGGGGAAGTGTAAGGGTCTATGACTATGACGGAAACTCGAAAACTCTCACGACCTGGCCTGAGCCACTTTGCAGACATAGGGCTTGTAGTTGTTTTTTTGTTTTCGACGTTATTGTCTCTTGCCAATACAGATGTACGAGAAAAACCAGGGCAAGCAGCATATCCTGTCCACATGCTACTGTTCACCGTCTGCTCCACGTGAACCACATGTCCATCGAAGACATGGCAAAGCACGTGTGCCAACTTTGCGACGTGCGTGTGTGTGTTGATCAGGAGAAGAGTCGCACTTGCTGTGGAAAGGACAGAATTGGACAGATGTTCAGGCTGACGAAGCAACTTTCGAGCGAAAGGCGTTGGTCAGCATGTCGAACGAGAACAATGGTGCGGCATCATTCAGTGGGGCAAACCGTCGACTGGTGCTACATCGTTTGAAGCCGGCCCTGCCCGCAAGGTCGAGAGGCAGCCTCTGGCTAAGAAATGGCTTCAAGACCGATTCTGCACACTGGCTCCTCAAGGCATGGCTGCATCAAGACCTCTGGATCAGCACAGCCAGTGGTTCTTGGCTACGTCTGGATAGGGCATCTGCCTTTGGATAGGGCATGTGCTAACTATTGCTTAATTTCTGCTAGTATACATTTGCTACACACATTTGTGACCCACACCTGTGACCTACTGTACATCTGGTAAAACTACATGAAAGGTAGGTAGCGGCGGGGTGTGTATACATAACATGTTATATCTATCTATATATATATATATCATGTATGTATTCACGTGGAGGATTAAGCGCTTGCGAATCACGCGTGCTCAGTGCCCTGTGTCTCAAGTTAGCCATCTGATTCAAAGGTCATGTTTCAGGTGTCATGCTTTGCATGCTTCGGTCAGGCGGAGAAGATCCTGACGAACCCCATGCAGCTTCCAGCTTCCGCGGATGCACTCTCTGAGCCCTTGGAGATCGGACATGGAACCGGTCCGATCCGGCATGTTCCGCCTCGGCCTGGCAGCCGCCTGAGGTCGATGTGAGAAGATGGGCTGGTGGTTCATGACGCAGAATGGATGAACTCGAGGGATGTGAACATGGTTGACTTTGGCGGTGTTTAGTAGGGGTCCACACCCTGTCACATGCAACGGGCAAAAGGACATGTAGTGTTTGTGGAGTTTTTGGTCCGCAGACCTCTGCCATCTCAAGTGTTTTCCTTTTCTGAGGGATGCTTGAGAGTAAGACGAGTAGTGACATCGAAATCTTAAATGCCAGCATTGAATCTCACACCGCTTGGCTTCCGGCTTCGGGCTGATCAGCTGGCGGATTGCCCTTCCTGCATGCTCTCTGTCGAGCTGCGCAAATCTCATGGCCTCCGCCAGAAAAGACAACATGTTTCCTGCCTAAGCAATCAAGGATATCTCTGACACCTCATATTCAAGTAGGCCACGACCCCCACCCTCCAGGCCAAGCTACCAGAACTCTTGGTTGTTGAAGACACCAGAGGCGGGCAATGGTTGGGCATAGTCGGCGCTCGTTGGAAGCCAAGTGGGGGTTGTTTTTTCCCGTACTGTAACCGACCTTTTTGGGCTTAGGTCTTGCGTGAGAACTGCTGAAGTTTCTTGGATCGTACTCACTCCCCATGCCACTTGGTGTAAGGCCATGGTCTGAGTGAAATGAGGGACCACGGCTGGGAGGACCCTTTGCTCTACTCTAGTTCAACATTTAGACATTGAGATTGATGCATGGACCTAATGGACCTGGCAAGTCCAACCCTTGCAGGCCAAAACTAGTACACTTTGACGAACACATCGCATGGAAGTGGATGGCATGGTCCCTTGGAAGACTATACCTACCTTTACGAACATTGAGTGTCATCCACTTCCATGTCAGTGAGTCAGAGTGTAACTCTACAGTCTCTCTAGTAGCAAGGCATCGGCATCACAAGGCACTTCCTGTCGCATTTTTGAAGGTTTCACTACCTTTTGCTCATCTCCTCTTTCAAGTTTTGGTCGTTCTTGTCATAAAACAGCACAATCCAATCCGTTTGAACCTGCGTTGCCCCGCGGGGCTCGCCTTGCTCCCGTTCCGACTCTGCTCTCCGCTCCAGGCGAAGAAGCGCAGTGCCGACACCGCTCCGCCTTCGATCCAGAGAAGGTTAGAGAAATCAGTCGATGGCGAAACTTTCTTTTTTAGCTAGGCGGATTGGGGGGTTAGGCTGAGGAGTAGCTACTCACGTAGCTAGTAGTCCACTACTAGTAGCTGGGACGCAGGAAAAGGGTCTCGCACGATTCATTTGGTTCCCCAAAGTGAGGGAAACTGAACTGAACATATCTGCATAGAATATCACCACAGAATTATTTTTGGTCGCAGTGATTCCTGGAAGTCCAACAGGTTGGAGGCCATCGCCAGTAGTTTTTTGAGGCTTCGCTCGACCCTCTCGATACTCTTAGCGTCGAACTCGCGAACTCGTGAGATCGTGTCTTGGTGGACATCGGGTTCCAGTGTGGTCAGTGGAATGCGTTGCATTCCGAGGGTATATAATATATAAAATAATAGTATGTATATATATAATAGTACTATATATACCCTAGAAGTCCAAAGACTATTTTCGGCACCACCCAAGTAAAGGAAATTCCTTTTCGGATCATCTAAAGACCATTTTATAAATAGTCTTTGACTTTCAGGGTATATATATTCTTTGTTCTTAACATACTTTGTTTTTTCTGAGGTTTTACACGGGTGACACAAGGTCGGAACGGAGATTTTCATACAGACTTCCGATTCAAAACGATCCACTCGAAAGACCCAAGAAGTCTCAGATGATTGCTGGTCCTCAAAGTCCAAACATCCCGGAGCCTCGGCAACAGACCAGTTTGAACAAAAGAACATCAAATAAGTACTTGATACAATGTTGTTTATGGCACGAGAAAGTAGGTAATATATATTTTATGGTGATACACATTTCAAAAAGTTGATACAAAAGTCAATGGTTGGGCACGAGATCAAGTATGGTCTTTTGTTTGGGGCAGCGTCAGGTCAGGTAGGCGACCTACCCTAGGTCTTTGGTCACCATTTCGTGATTCTGCATGTCTGCAACATCGCTGTGATCAGGTTGCGAGATGATGTTCAGACGGCCTTGCTGCAAGACTCTGACACCCTCCTTGTGGCTTGCCGAAATCTGGGACCAACCTACTGTGCTGCCCAGATGCTGAGGAAGTTGACTAGAATAGAAAGAAGTAATGAGCCAAGACGGACTCCTAAGGATCTAAAAAGATACGTCTCGCTTTTGGAGCAGACCCAAATACATACACCACCTGCAACCCCCAGTCCAACCCCCAGTCATCAAGATGTCCACTCTCTCTATATATATATATAGAGGTGTATGTTTAACCGGGTTTGTTCGACTATTCAATCCTCCAAAGATCCAAAGCGTGGGGACCATTTGGACAAAGAGCTACTGCCCAGGATTCTCTGCAGTACCTGCCTATTAGAATCACTTTTCTTATCCGATGATCTTCAGTAGCACGTTATTCCATATCAGCAAACATCAAGACCTGCCAAGCTCGAAAGTTACACAAGCAAATTTCACAAACAACAGACGTTTTGATGGATCATTTATTCCATCGGCCACTTAACTCTGCTTCAGTGCCCACCACGAAACTTGGTGTTCGTTCGTTTCTGCGTTTCGTTCGTTTTCTCATGTTTGCGGTTTCTGGTGGCGCGGATCATACCTGGGGTCGTCTATGCGCGGGGCTTCCCACCGCGGAACGTCAGACGACCAACAACAGCGAGGCCCTGGCATTGCTGCGAAACCACCGCTGCTGTGGCCAGTCACCCAGGATTCGGAGAGAATGGCTTAGAATTCCTTTATCACACGAGGAGTCACACGAAGCTGCAGGAAGTCGTGTGTTGGTTCTGTTTCCCAACATCTGTGGCACGTGGCAAATTTGATGTTTTGGATGGAAGGACGGAAGGACCTGGTAAATACGAATGTCTTAGTGGGACATCAGCAAATTAAATCCGGCCCGGATGCGCCTGAGTAGCCTTGCTACACTACCATCATTATAGAGTCCAGAGAAGCTTTTCGTTGAATTGCTAAATAGCCAGCACAATAGTCCACTTCAACTGTTGCCAAGGCCTCAGAGTTGCAGTAGCTTGCCAGTCGGGGCTAGATTGGAGTAGCACAAATGTCCCTGACCACAGAATAGACCATTTCGCAGTCTCACCCCACTCACCCCAAAATCGCCTGGCCCACGATCCCTCGGCCGCCGCTGGGCCGACCGGACATCCCAAACTGGATCTCGCCTGCCCTCCAAGGGAATCATTGCGTCTATGAGGCTGGTAGATGCGAATTGATGCACCCAAGTGAATTAGTAAAGGACTTTGTGCGAGTCTGTCCAGGAATTTTTGAAAAACATTGAAAAGCCTCTTTCAAACTTGGCTCAATGATAAGTCCATTTCTTTCACTTTCCCACCAAATCGTGGCAACTTTTCTTTTCTCGTGCTTCCACATATTTTCAGCCAGGGCCATAGCCTGACTCTGAAAATGGACAGAGTCACCAAAAGACATTCTCAAGAATCAGACACTCAAGCACAAAGGAAGATTACTGTGCATAGCAGAACTCCGTCCACTGGACATCACTGGTATGTTCGATCAGGTGACTCTATCACTTGACCATTCCCTGGCTCAGGCGGTGCGCCGGCAGAACTTCAGGGCTTTGGAATATCTCCTTCAGCGCGAGGCGGACACAGAGATGCCTTTGTCCGAAGCTTTTGGTTTTACCAATTCTCAAGATCTCGATTCTGAACGCCCCCAGTTGTCGTTTCAAAGGATATGATCGGGAATTAGCTGTGAACTTTGATGTTACACTACCAAAGAAAATCATGGACCTGCACAGAATTTTGAGACATATTAGCAACTCTTGAAACTTGAAACGGCATTTTGTTTTCTTACCACATTCTTTCACTGAAAATTGCCTCCGGCAAAAGTTTATGCCGTTTGAAGATCCAGGTATGGCCAGTCCATGCAGGTGACTGAAGTTGACCTCTAAGTAGCGAGATGCAAAGCATGCTGACACAGAGTGTAGCCTTGCAACTGGCTGAAGCGCATCCTCGTCAGAGCAGACACATGCAGAGACCAATAGGCTCCAACCAAGCGAAGACAGGTGGACGGAGCCAGACTGAAGGACTTGGGAAGAGAGATTCCCAAAGCCCAGAGGCCAGTGACCTGGATGAAGCTTGCCTTGGTCGTCGGCCACTACACGTGGCAGCACAGGCAGGGATAGCCCCAGCTAAGATGGCCAAGGAGTTTTTTTTTTTTTTTTTTTTTTTCGAAAAGACCACCTGCAATTTGCCAGGTTAAGCCTTTAATGGATCATGGATGACTTGAAGTGAGCTAATGTCTGTCTTTAAATGTTTATGTATTCATCGAACATGCGATTGATTTATGTCACAGCCACAACGGTCTCGTTTGCTGATATTAACGAATTCACCTGTTTCGGATGTAAAGATGAAAGCCCTTCCTTCCTTTGTATCCGGTGTCGGCCCTAGTGACTTATAGTGAGAAAGTCCGTGTCCATGCCGGGCCGAAAACAGGCGTGCATGTTCAACGGCGACGAGGGCTATTGCATGACAGAGATTCTCCTGCAGCATGGGGCAAGGCTCGGCGTGGAGATGCGTGGAGCGCTGAGGGACCAATCATTTCTCCTTTTGGACGCTCAGTTTTGACATGTTTTGACGTGTTGGGACCCTCCAAATCTCTCCAGTCCAAGAAAAAGCCCAATAGGAATTTTCCGAGGTTGCAACCACTTGAATCCACTGGTTTGCAAAGCCAAATTGGACTCTTCCGCCCTGAACCTTGCAGCATTGCACCATTGGTCTCCCCGGGTTTGGGCACCTCAACAACATACACAATGGGCAATAGACCCACCAAACGAAAAACATGGGATTAAAGTCAACCCTTGGCTTAAAATACACCTTCATAGTCCTTCATATATTATGAAGAGGCTTTGCAATTCAATTCGGGGGACGGTCTAAATAG